ATGTGTGCAGCATAGCAGCAAAGCATTGTGGGAGTGCAAGGTAAGGCCCAGGGGGAGGGGTGAGGCCAGGCTGTGAGGACCCCCCCCACAAGTCCGGCTGAAGACACTTCATTTATTGAGTGCCTGCCAGAGGCCAGCCCCGCATTCAGTGTCTGACAGTAATTTTCACCTCATCAACTCTACCCTCTAAAATTCTCCCCAGTTTGTGGATGCAGGAAGGTATGATAGTTTCGGATTTGGAATTTCTGCCTTTGTAAGTGCAAAAACCCTGTCTCTAAATACTGCACCAGCTCAGCTGTTGGCAAATTACAACCCCAGAATCAATGAGCTGTTCTTCTAGATTGAGTTTTATTGAAACAGAGCCCCATTCCTCTGTTTACATGTTGTCTGTGGGTGCTTTTCACTGGTGAGTCGTTGTGGCAGAGACTGTGTGGTCGCAAAGCCTACAATATTTACTGTCTTGCCCTTTACAGAAAAAAGTTTGCCAGATTAAAAATGTCTGCTAGACTAGAGAGCTGAGTCAGAAGATTCAGTGTGAGTCGGAGCCCTATACTTGCTGTGTGAGCTTAGGCAAATTGCTTGTCCTCTCTGAGCCTGCCCAGCCAACCCTTGGGGGTTGCAGTGGAACTCGTAGGTGACGGCTGCAAGACGTTTTGTAGACTGTAAAGTGTTGTACCTATCACCAGCTTGGCACTGGGTGGGCACTAAAAATCTGCTTGTGGGTGAACGAGGAAGAGTCACTGTGCAGGCCTTCTAGCCTGGCTGCTGCCTGCTCCTGGAACGGCAAGGAGATGGCATCTGGACCCGAGATGCTGAATGCATCATTGTTCTCCTCATGCAGACTTGGCAGGTTTGAGCATAAATTAAAATTCTTGTGGGGAGTCACCTTATATGTGGTACCTCTTTATAGCCAAGTCATTACGGTAATTTGCAAAAGTCTCTGGTGTGTAACTGGAGTCCTTTGCTTCACATTTGCTGGCTGTGACCTCATTCAGGCTGCCCGGTCCTGCATTTGGTGACCCCTGAGCCTTGGGGACTTGTCCTTCTGAGCCTGGCTGCAGGGTGATCCAGACCTGACCTTCCGGGGATAGAATGCTGGGCCTTGCTTTGCACAGGGATAAATAGGAGAAATCGTTATGGTTACCATCCTCATGCCTTTTCAAGTGCTTACTGTGAGCTGGGCACCATGCCAAAGGCATTGTGTCCATAATCTCACGGGTTTGTCCTTACAACCTGAGTAGCTATTATCACCATTTTATAGATGAGAAAACAAAGACTTCAAGAGGAAAGTAAACCAAACCCTTACCTAGTCCCGGGGGTGCCAGTCAGGCTCTGCTGGGGGTTTGCTGTGTGACCAAGACAGGTCCTTTCCTTCTCTGAGTCTCGGTTTCTTCGTCTATTACTTAAATGGATGGGCAGGCAGTCCCAGCCCTGACATTCCAGAATTTCTCACTAACTTGTAAAACTGAGCATAGGACTCCCCCACCCTCCAGTTCTCCAAAGAAGCTTCACATGCATGAAAGCTCTTGGCTGCAGTGTCGCAGGGGGAGACATGGCCCCTTCCTGGGGCACCCGCAGCCTGCCTCAGGGCAGCAGGGCCAACGTGCCCCTCTCATTCCTCGGCCTCTGTAGAGAAAGATTCCATCCTTGCTCCCCGGAGATGGAGAGTGAGCAAGGGTAGGTTCTCTGATGCCTCTGGGGACAGAGAGGCAAGATGCCAATAGGCGGGAGGGCAGTGGCAGGTCTCCTGGCTGACTTGGGCCTGTGGTGGGCAGTGGTGACAGAGCCCACATCTTTCTAGTGGTCACAGCATCTCTGGGGCACATGTTATAGCCTCTGGTTTTATTTCCAGCCGTTGAGAAAGCAGGTGGCCCAGGGAAGGGTCTGGTATGGGCTTTGGGAGCAATTGCCATGAAACCTGGGACAGTCCCTTTGCCAGCTCTGATGCTTACTTACATCCTTCTAGAAGTTAGGGAAGCTGATGGATTTTTATCTAGGATGCTATGAGGACCACACAAGACAAGGGCCTGAATGAGCTTGGAGCCCCAGGCAGTGTCAAACTGTGCCCTGAGGGGCTCTGTCGCTCCTCCCTCCAAGAGCTGGCTTGTTTATTTATTGTAGAAAGACCTCTTACTATATCCAGGGAGAAGAAGCCAATGGGCCTCAATTATTTGCTGGGTAATAACTATTTTTTCCCATGGAAGTGATGGGTTTGCATCTCAGGTGTGTCCTTTGCTCCCTGTGTGACCTTGGGTAAACCACTAGACCTCTCTGAGCCTTCATGTGTTTGTCTGTAGATGGAGTAGTCTTACCCATCTGGCAGAGCTGTCCTAGAAACTGAGAGGTTAAGGAGTCATTGTAATGGTTGTTTGTACTTTGACCTTCCCAGAGGCTCCCCAGCATGATCTTCACTGGAGTCAAAGGTGGGGATGCTTGTTTGGGGATCCCCAGTTGCTCATCAGTTGCCTGAGAGGCAGCAGGACAGGACCTAGGCTTTGAAGCCCGAGAGATGTGGGTTTGAACTGTGGCCCCACCTCTTATAGACCCCTGAGCCTGATCAGAGGCACCCAATCTCTCCAACCTTCAATTTTTCTCATCTGAAAAATGGCTAGAATGAGCCCACTGCACAGAGATGGACACTCAGAAGGATCGATGTGGCTGGTGCCTAGGAAGGGCTTGATAAATGCTGGGCTCCCAGTGCCTTTCTGGGGGCCCACCTTCCCTCGCTCTACACATCCTCCTTAGGTGAAGTAAGTAACCCAGAGGCCCCCAGTGGGTCTGGTGGGTTTTTGAAGGATGCTCAGAACCACCTCCCTGACCCAAAGGTTCTGGGAGAAAGACCCTGGCAGAACAGCCCCATGTGATGATTAAGCTCTCTTTGCTCCAAATGCTATTAATGTTCATAAAATTATCCACAGTTTTCTGAGGCCCAGGCCCAGGGTTTGCCTCAATGGGACAATAAAATCGCATGCAGAAACGATTTGGAACAGGGAAAGACCGCCAAGCTGAGACGGAGCTAAACGAGCGGCAGCCTGCTCTCATTAACTCAGGCCGTTCACATTTGTTACCAGGGATTTCTTTTTAATTAAAAAACAACCAAGTTATTAAAAAATAAGCTTGTGAGGGGCTGGCCCAGCAGCAGCTAGGGCCAGCGGGAGTGAGCGTTCCTTGCAGCAGGAATGAGCCCAGGGCCCGGCCGGGGAAGGTGAGGGGGGCTTCTGAGCGAATTTTCATCCGTACCTTCTGGAGCAGGCTCGCCTGTGCCTGGGAAGGCAGAGGCTCCTCCGAGCCCCTCCCCTGCCCTGGGACAGGGCATTTGCATTCCGCTTTGCAAACTGTACTCTGCTCGGCAGGTGGATGCCTGGTGCCTGTCAGAGCTGTGGGCACACGGCGAGGGAGCCCTGAGTGTCGGGCCTCCTGGGCGGAAGGGCCTGCCTCTGGGTTGGGCTGGAATTAGGGTTGGTGGAGGTGGATTCCTTGAGGCTGGGGTCGGGATTTTGTCTAAGACGCCACTTTGTGTTACACAGCAATTCAGAACTGGGGTTTGGGTCTGACAGACCTGAGCCCGAGATCCAGCCCAGATTCTTACTAGTGCTGTGATCTCAGGTGAGTACCCTAAGCTCCCTGAGCCTCTGCCTTGTCTCTACAGTGAGGATGACCTCCCTCAGAGGGCAGGGCGGGGGGTCCAGGGAGACAGTGGTGAAAACCACCAGCCTGCACCCAGCGCCTGCACATCCTGCTCGGCGAAGGTGCTTCTCCTGTAATTCTCCTCATCCTCAGTCTCGGCGGCTAGTCCGGACCTGGCGTCAGCTCTTTGCTCAGCTTAATGGCTCATCCTGCTCAGAGTGGACGGTACCTGGACATGCTTGAGCCTATTAATAATGCTTTATGACCTCTGTCCGACACTTGATGCTTTCCCAAGTGCTGTTTGACAGCGAGGACAATTTCCACCCTTGGAGCATGCCTGCGAGTTGCTAGTACTGTGCTGGGGGCTTTGCACCTCAGCTCTCAAAACCTCACGGCATCGCTGGAGACGTGACATGGCTGTCCCCATTGTACACCTGGGAGCAGAGGGTCAGCCTCGGGGGGGAGTTTGTTCAAGGCACAGACTTGCTTGGGGGCAGTCTGGGCTCACACCGAGGTCCATCAGGCCCCAAAGCCCATGTCTTCACTCCTTAAGGTTATTGCTGCCAGGTGCCAGGACAGAAAGCCTCAGAAGATAATGTCCAGATTCACCCATGTCACGCTGTAGAAGAGAACGCTGAAGCCCAGAGAGGGGAAGGAGCTTATTCCAACTATGCCTAGCAGTTCTGGTGCACTTTATACAGATTTTCTCAGGGTTTTCATTCCCATCTTCTCCCCCAGTTAGTCTTCCTAAGAACCCCGTCACTGGGCAGGGCAGGGCATACGACGGTTAGGCTGTCAAAGAACCGTGGAGAATACGGAGCTGTGAATAACTGTGTACCGTGTTTCTGTGGTGTAATGCAATCTGGGAAATAATGCAGATTGAGCTTTGGTAATAACAAGAGCAGATGGTGTCTAGTGAGAACCTACTCTGTGACCTACGACGTCCATGCCGCTCACCAGCCTGCTGAGCAGTGCAGCCCCAGCACGTGTCTGTGAGCCTTGTCAAACAAGTGTTTGGTGACCAACGTGAGGGTCAGTCTGTGAGGCAGGAGCTTGTCCGCCTGGTTCGCCAGTGTTTCCTGCCCCGACCAGAGTGTTGGTACATCATAAGGGTTCAGTGTTTGTGTAACAGTCATTCAGCCGCGGGAGCTCAGCATCCGCATCTGAGTATTGGGGATTTTGCTCCTGATCCCGCTGGTGATTATGGAAATTAAATAATGGATCTTGGTGCCTTGAATGCAGCAGGGGTTCAGTGAGTGTGGGCTCGAGGCTGCTGTGTCCCACCCTGTGCCCTAATGACTGCCCTCTCCCTGCCCCCCTCTGCAGGCTGCCCCCACTCATGTTCTTTCCTCTTCCTGTCTTTCTTTGCATAGTGAACGGGAGCTACGGCCACTGCACCCCAGGCTCAGACAAGAGCCTGCTGGACCTGGACCTTGCGGAGGGCCCCGGCCCCACCTGCCGCCAGGGCCTTTTTCTCCCTGCGGGCACCCCACCACCCCGGGGCCAGCCCCCAGCCTGCGAGAGGCTCCTGCATTTCCCCCACCCTAGCAGGTATGTGCTCCATCCTCACCCATCAGCTGCCTTCTGTGGATGCTTCCTGAAGGCCAACCCCGAGGGCCTCCAGACCTCATCTAGTCTGCCTCATTGTGGGATACACAGGGAACCTGAGGCACGAGAGAGCCAGGGACCAGCCAGAGGCCAGTAGCACAATGACGGCTGCCTGGTCTAGGCCTCGAACCCCCCACATTGCAGTACCTCATGAGAGACAGAGATGGTTTTATTGAGGTAGGCTTCCCCATTGCAGAAGCTGAGGTGGCTTTTCGCAGAGAATCGGTAATTTCAGAAGAGGAAGATTCAGGGGTGGGATGGGGAAGGAAAACCCAGCTGAGGGGGTATACACATTGTAGTGCCGAAGCCTGGACCATTCAGAGCGTGGAGAGGGGTTCCTCCACCTGGGGCCATCTCCTGCACTAGGAAGCCATACCTCCCAGAGCCCTGCTGGGTGACCCTCATTCGATGCCTGTACCTTTCCAGTGATGCCCACTTGTGGACAGAGCTTCTATCGCATCGTGTGTCAGGCTGGAATCTGCCTCCTGTGGCTCTCCCAGCTGTGCCTCTGTGCCCTCTGGTCTGCTGACAGCCAGACGTCAACCACGGGCAGACCTCTGTGCCCCCGGCTCAGCCCCTGCACCTCACTGCCTTGGCAAAGGAAGCAGGGCTCTCCCCAGTGGAGCTTACTTTCCAGGGAGAGCTTAGGTGAGAGAGAGGAGTACATAGCAGCATGCTGATTCTTCCCACATAGAGCCAGTTTCCTTTGAAAATGTAGACTCCCTGAGACCTTCGGTGATACCAGGGAGCCTTCTGACTTACAGGAGTGTTAGTGCGCGCGAGCTGCCTGGACAAAACACCACAGCCCAGTTGCTGAAACAACAGAAATGGATTTTGTCACAGTTCTGGAGGCTGGAAGTCCAAGATCACGGTGTCCCCAGGTTTGGTCTCTCCTCAGGCCTCTCTCCTTGGCTTACACATGGCCACCTTCCTGTGGTGGCCCTTCCACTGTTTGCACGCTCTTCATCTTATAAGGACACCAGTCATACTGGATTAGGGCCTCACCCTTACAACCCCATTTAACCTTCATTACCTCCTGGAAGGCCCTATCTCCAAAGACCATCACACGGGGGGTTAGGATTTCAACATACACATTTTGGAGGGACGCAATTTAGTACGTAACAAGGAGCGAGCCTCTTAGTTTCGAGCTGTATGTTCGGTGACAGTCCAGTGCATTTATCTGCTTGATTATTCACTGAGGCTCCGCCAGCAGCATCTGGTTCCTCCAGGGAAATTCTTTCTATCTCAGGGCAGAAGCTATGCTAACCTAGGGAAAGCTAAAGCAAATGGGTTTTTATTTGTCTATTTATTTTTTAATTTAAATTCAATTTAGTTAACACTTAATGTATTACTAGTTTTAGAGGTAGAATTGAGCGATTCATCAGTTGCATACAACACCCAGTGCTCATACTTCAAGTTCCCTCCTTAAAGCCCATCCCCCAGTTACCCCATTCCCCACCCCCCCTTCCCTCCATCAACCCTCAGTTTGTTTCCTAGAGTTAAGAGTCTCATGATTTGCCTCCCTATTTTCATCTTATTTTATTTTCCCTTTCCCTACATTCATCTGTTTTGTTTCTGAAATTCCACATATGAGTGAAATCCTATACTTGTCTTTCTCTGATTGACTTGTTTCGCTTAGCATAATACACTCTTAGTTCCATCCATGTCCTTGCAAATGGCAAGATTTCATTCTTTATGATAGCTGAGTAGTATTCCATTGTATATATGTATACCACATCTTCTTTATCCATTCACCTGTTGATGGACATCTGGGCTCTTTGCATATTTTGGCTATTGTGGACATTGCTGCTAAAAACATTGGGGTGCAGGTGCCCCTTTGGATCACTATGTTTGTATCCTATGGGTGAATACCTAGTAGTGCAATTACTGGGTCATAGGGTAGTTGCTATTTTTTTTTATACAGATGATCAGAAGTATGTGTCATTTTGAGTGTCATTTTGAGAATTCAGAGCGCAAGAGAGCCTATGCCTAGAACCCATACCTAGAACCCCACACCAGCATCATCCTGAGCTACTGCCATTTCTGCTGCTGATCTGGCACCGTCACGTTCCCTCATTTTCCTAAAGCAAAAGAGGGCTCCAGCCCCTGTCCCCCACCCAGTCAGACCCTGTCCCTTCTCCTTCCCACTGGATTGCCTTGTGTCGGGGACTCCTCTCCTTGCTGCCCTGCCTCCTGTCCTCTAGCCCCCAGATCCACTGCCTGGGTTCCTGGGGTCCTCCTTGCCTCCAGCCCAGCTTTCTAATGCTAATAAAAATCCCTCCCACTTTGCAAGGACCTGCTGCCTGTGCACATCTCTCATTTAATCGTCACCACCAATAAGTGACAATCCTGGAGTGCTTGTACTTGCCACACAGGAGGCCAAGCACTTACCATGTTAGCACCTCACTCAACTCCCATCTGTCAGAGGGTGGGGAGACTGAGGGAGAGAGGCCACAAAACTAGCCCGAGGTCACCCAGCAAGTGGTGAGAGTTTCAAGTAACTTCGGCAATACCCTGATTTTGTCATTTCTGTGCTGAAAATGACTACCCACCAGCACTATTGTCAGTAGAATGTATTATTACATGCAGTTTGAGGCCTAGCTCCATCACTGACTTTCTGGGTGACCTTGGGCAAGATGCTGACCCTTCCTGGGCCTCGTCTTCTTACGTGTAAGATGAGGATAGGAACAGAGTACACAGGCCCCCAGTAGTATGGGAAGGCACCCTGAGATCTGGCCCCTGCCTGCCCACCCGTCATGCTGGCCTTCTGGCCTTGGGCCCAGTGGGCCACACACTTTCACATCTTCATGCCTCAGCCTTCAGAGCCCACACCGCCCACCACCTTGGTCTCTTATGTTTGCCAGAACTCTGCCCACCCCTCAGCAGAGTTTAACTGTTCCCATGAGAGCCGGTCCTCCATCTCCCCCATGAGAAGGGAAGCCTCTCAAGGGCAGGGACCTGGTTTGTGAACCATCTCATGTCCCCAGCATCACCCAGCACAGAGGGAAAAGCCTGCAGAGGGACCTCTCTGGCCCTTCGCCCAGGCTTGAGCCCCTGAACCAGTGGGTACACAGACCCCACGAGATCCGAAGTCACCCTCCTGTCCCCTTGAGCCTCTGTCAGAGGAACGCTAGTTTTCCCAAGTTCAGCAGCTCCCTTCAGGGTCCAGGATGACAGACAGAAGAACATTGGAGTCCTTGACGCTCGGAACGTTGAGGCTGCCAGGAAACGTAATGGTCATCAAGTTCCATCATTTTGCAGAGGGGGAGGCTGGGCCCCTGGCAGGACAGTGCTGTGGGAAAATCACAGGCTGCTGGTTCAGACAGATCGAGGTCCCAATTCCTGCTGTAACACTGCCTGCCTCTGGGCGCTTGGGCAAGCTGCTTCGGTTTTCCTAAGTATGCACCAGATGGTGGGCTCTCCCCCTGAAGAATTTGATTATGCATTCAGCAGATAGCACACATCGTTCTGTTGCAGTGGGGTTGCGTGGGACGGCCCTCGGGAAAGCGCCCGGCCCGCAGGGCTGCTCAGCACTTGTTTGCTCTGTCCAGGGACCCCTGCTCAGTTTCCAGACGTGTGACGTGTGACAGGAGTCGCCTGGGGAGCCCAGGGCTCAGGTGTGGGGCAGGATGGGAGCGGCCGCAGGCCTGCCGGGGACAGAGGGACCGAGAGGGCAAGCAGGAGGCTGCCTCAGCTGGCATTTGGGGCCAGGAGACACCACAGCCTAGTTGCCCTCTCCCCACCTGCTGCCATGGGAGGTTCTATTGTTGTATTCGGGTAATTCAGTCACAGGCGCTACGGCTGTTCTCTGCTGCTGGTCCTTAAGCCTGATGCTGTTTTTTAAAGGGATTGGTTCCAAACAGATGCTTACCTGGAGGCCCACCTCTGCCAGGCCCAGGATGACGACCATGCAAGGACGGATATGCTTTTATTTATTTTTTAAGCTTCACGAAGTCACAACTTTCCTATCAGATCTTTAAGCTCCTCAGGGCTCTTCTGCCGGCAGCGGTGGCCCAGCGTCCCCAGGCCCGGGGAAGGGGATGTGCATTTGCTGTCCACCTTGGAGTCCACGCTCCTTCTGATTCCACCCAGTGGCTGCACTCTGGACAGGGAAGAGAGGTCTTTGCTGGGTGAGGCAGAGAATTGGTCAAGTGTAGCTGAGAAACAGAAGGGCCCTTTTCACAAGCCTTTATTTATCTGGGGAGCACTTCAGGTTTATCCTGGAGAAATGTACACCCCCAGGAGAAGGGGAGCCTGGCTCCCAGCCCAAGCCCCATCACCGGCTTGCTGCTTGGGACTGTGGGCAAGCCCTGTGCCCTCTTGGCTCCTTTCCTGTCTGTGCAGTCGTGGGGATGGAGCCCATGCTCTCTGAGCGCCTCTGGGCTCTGTCTTTCTCCCCTGTGCCCCCCCTTCCTCCTCCTGAGTAGTGCTGGGGCGCCCCAGCTGCAGGGAGCCAGAGAGGGAGGCTGGGCTGCAGGGCCACGTGGAAAGCAGGGACAGGTGATGATCCCACAGCCCCTCTGCAGAGAGCTACGGAACACTGGCGGTGATCTGGCAGTAATAAACGCACCATTCACCCTGCCATTGTCTCTCCAGAGGGCTGTCACGGCATCTGCTGTCCCTCTTGATCCTGGCAGCCACCCTCTGAGGCAGTGAGGGCTAGTCCTTGTTTTACAGGTGAGGAAACTGAGGCTCAGACAGGCCCAGGGACACATGGGGTGTCCTTGTCAGGCTTTGAGCACATAAGCAGGCTTCCTGTTGTGCCCAGCCAGCCAAGGTGCTTCTTTGACCCTCCGTCCAGCGTCACCTGGCTGGTGGCCGGGGATCCTGGGGCCTCTGCCTGCACTTACATGTCCTGCATTTGGGGAGGGCCCTCTCTCGGAACACGGGTACCACATGCGTGCTGAAGACCCATCACACCATCATCACTCTCAGGAGGAGAATCGTTCCAGTGTCAGGATGAGGAGAGAGGCCCAGAGTGCCCTTGCCCAGCTTTGTGCAGCGGGGAGTGTCTGAGCCTGGCCTCAAACCCCGGTCTCCTGCCTCCCCTGTGCTGCCCTCCCAGCCTCCCTGCCCACAGCCTCCCCCAGAGTTGTGTTCCGTGCAGTCACAATGTCTGGGCTTGAAATCCCGGGACCACACCACCAGGCTTTTCCTCAGTCATTCTTGGGATGCCCCTCGTCACCATGACTTGTGTTTCAGACCCCCAACCCACTGACATTCACTGTGGAAAAGACAGATTGCTTGGGGCAAAATGCCACAGAATTAACATTTCTAGAAACTTAAAAAGATTACAAAAATTAAGAAAGAGCTAAGGGACAAGTAGGCCGAATTTAAAACAAACTGGACCTGGATGTCTCTCCAAATGCCAGTCTTAGCCTTCTTCCTCCAGAACTCACTAGAAGGTCATGGGGAGGTCAGGGCAGACCCTAGGGAGGCCTCAGCGCAGGATGGCAGCCGGGGCTGGAGAGGGCAAGCTGGATTTGGTAAAAGGATGACACGGGACTCTTTCCTGGCATTCTCTTCAGACCTCCTGCCTTTCTTGAACCTCTTCCCAGCCCCGTCCTCTTTCTCTCTCTCTCCTGTTTGCCCCCATATTCTTCCCTGCTGACCAGACCTCCAGCCTCTGGCTTCTCTCTCCCTCTGCTTCCAGCCCTCCACTTCCACCCCTGCTCTGGGCTTCCCATCCCTTGGTCCCAGGTTCCCTGCTGTCCCCCGCCGGGGCCTCCCCTCTGTGGAGTGCCCCCCCTCACGGCCTCTCTGCTCCCTGTCTTCCAGGTCGCCCAGACCTCAGGCCACGTATGTGAATGGTGGCCTTCCAGCCACGCAGCACATCAAGCAGGAGTCCCTGCCTGACTACCAGGCCATGACAGAAGCTCGCACACCCTTGTCCACTCACTGCCGGGCCCCGCCAGCCACTGGCCTGCACACAGACCTGGACCTGCCGGGCCGAGGCCTCGCTAACCCCGCCCCTTCCTGCTACCTTCTGGGCTGCGAACCCAGCTCTGGCCTGGGCCCCCCGCCTGAGGCCCACCTCCCTGAGGGTAGCCTAAAGCGTTGCTGCCTCCTGGGCCTGCCCCCCACCTCCTCGGCCTCCTCCTCACCCTGCGCCTCCTCCGATGTCACCTCCATCATCCGCTCTTCCCAGACAGCTCTGGTCACCTGCGTCAATGGACTCCAGAGCCCCCCGCTGTCAGGAGAGCTGGGGGGGCCTCCCAAGCGGGCCCGGCCTGGCCCTGCGACCACGGAGAGCCACGAGGGTGGTTTGCAGCTGGAAGCCTGCCGGAAGGGGGGCTTCCTGAAGCAGGAGCCCGCGGACGAGTTCTCAGATCTCTTTGGGCCGCCTCCCCAGCAAGGCCTGCCTCCCCCCTACCCCGCGCCTCAGTTGCCGCCCGGCTCGGGCCTTGGGGGCCTGGGGTTGGGCCTGGGCAGGGGGGCGGCAGGCAGGCAGGCCTGCCGGTGGGTGGACTGCTGTGCGGCCTACGAGCAGCAAGAGGAGCTGGTGCGGCACATCGAGAAGAGCCACATTGACCAGCGCAAGGGCGAGGACTTCACCTGCTTCTGGGCGGGCTGCGTGCGCCGCTACAAGCCCTTCAACGCCCGCTACAAGCTGCTCATCCATATGAGGGTGCACTCGGGCGAGAAGCCCAACAAGTGCATGGTGAGTTCCCACGGCCGCCAGGCCGAGCAGCGCAGCCCCCACCTCCGCACTAGGGATGGCTTCCCCGGGGGGGCTCCTGAGCTGGGGGCTGGCGGGGATCCCCTGCGGTCGAGGACGGAAGGACCGATGCTGTGGATGTGGCCACTGGTCAGGACAGTCTGCCCCCCCCCCCCCCAACCGGGAGTCTTGGCTCCTCTGCTCACCAGGTGTCCCATCCCCCATCCCAAGGTGTACCGCCTGATCAAACACACTTGTTCAGGTCGTGACAGTACACGCTCTGAGGTCAGAGCAGGCCCGGGCAGATGCTCACCATCTCACCCACCAGGGGTCAGGTGCGTCGTGGACACCTGCTTTCCTCCAGCGCAGGGCCTTCATCGGGCAGCCTTCCCAGTGAGGGTCTCTGGGCCTCCAAGGAGGGCCGCGTCCTCACAGGCATCCAGCCTGGGAGTTGTGGCTCCCTTGGGCAGGTTTTGGGGTAAGGCCAGGGTTAACCTATAAGGATCCAGCAGTGACGAGGCTGGGATAGAACCTCAGTTTCCCGGGAACACACACACATGAACTGTGGGCACCTAGGCTCCAGCCCCTCTGACTTGTCATTTCTGCGTTGTGCTTTCGTGGTGGTGGAAATCCATATCAGAGTCTTTGTCCCTGATATCCTCAGGAGACCTGCTGTGCCTACCCCCAAGGCCCAGCTACCCCACTGGGAGAGGCACCTGCCTAGGAATGGAAGGACTGGAGGAGCCGCCCAGTCTTCCAAGGCCCAGCTCCGCCTTCTCAGCCACTGGGGCATTGGTGAGGCAGGGGAAGCAGCAGCGGGTCTGGTCTGCAAGACCACGTCCTAGCCAACGTCAAGTTCTCTGGCATTCGCATGCTGTCACCGATGCTGGACCCTGGTTCGTGAAGTGTTTGTTCTGGGAAGGGGTGCACTTCTGTTCCTGCTCAAGGCCCAGGGCAGCATTTGTAGGGGCCAGAGGGGAGGCAGAAAGCTTTGGCAACTGGCAGCATAAACTCCCCCTTCCTGGAACCAGGTGGTCACCCTTGGGGCCCTATCTGCTTGTGGAGCTGTGGTCTGGGCATGCAACTGGACCAGCTTATTCAGCTCAAGGGGGCTGGGTCTTGAGGATGAGGAGGAGGTCACTTTATAGACAAGTGGGGTGGTGAACAGTCTCTGCAAAAGGACAGGAACAGGAGGGAGCCCGTGGTTGGTGTGTTGGTGTTGTGGGGAGAGGCTGAGCTGGGCAGGCTGAGAATTTGACTTCATCATGTGTCTTGGGGTTGAGGGCATGCTGGAAGGAGCTGGTGGCCGGGCCAGTCCTGGGGATGCCTCTGTTTGTCTGGGGTGTTGTGACACATGGCTTGATGAAAGGCATGCCCCCACCTGGAAGGAGATGACCGCAGACTTCCAGAAGACAGAGGGCCCCTTCTCCCTCTGAGACCCTGGAGCTGATAGCTGCTAAGCAGCAGTCCTTCACGTCTCCTCTCCTGTGGGGCATCCTACTGGTGTCGGCAAGGGGCTGATGTGGAGGCCCAAGCCCTGGCACAGTGTGGTCAGTGGCCTTCGTGTGGAATTATAGCATGTGGGAGTGCCCATGTGGACTGCAGGGACTTTGGAGATAATCTAGCCTTCCCTGCCTGTTTTCTGGGAAACGGAGGCCTAGTGAGCAGGTCAGAGAGGCCCAGTTTACCCAGTGCAATGTGGGAATCTCTCTCTATGGTTCTTTCTCCTGGGCCAGCCAGGATCTCACTTGATTCAGCAAACTCCACAGAACACTGGCTTACACCTGGCTTGTGCCTGGCTCTGGGGACCCAGACCTGGACTTCCCAAGGTCTTCGCCTGCAGGCACCCATGGTCAGTAAGGGGTGGGAGATGGGTGTGGACAGGTTCTGCGTGGAGTTTGTATAGGCCCAGGGACGGGAGGCCCAGAAGGGCTTCATGGAGGAGGTGATGTTCAAGCCATGTCTGTGCTCACCCACGGTTTGCATTTAATCTTTATAAAAGTCCTGTAAAACCAAGGTTGTACAGATGAAGCAAAAAGGGTTCAATGGAGTCCAGCCGATCTTCTACCTGCTACTATGAGAATACCTTATCTTGCCTCTTGAGGGGTTCAGGCTTATGGTGATAATACCAGCAAGCAGCTTCTCAGTGTTGACTACATGCAGGAGCCATTCTTTTGGCAGGGGGAGGAGCAGAGGGAAAGGGAGCGAGAGAATCTTAAGCAGGTTCTATGCTCAGCATGGAGCCATACGTGGGGCTTGATCTCCCCACCCTGAGATCATGACCTGAGCCAAAATCAAGAGTTGGACGCTTAACCCACTGAGCCTCCCAGGTGCCCCAGGAGCCATTCTAAGTGATAACTCCGTGCGGTCCTCGTAACAACTCTACGGGATAGATACTATTAACCCCCATTTTACAGAGGAGGAAACTGGGGCTCACATTGCGTAATTTGCCCCAGTTCACACAGGTAGTTAGGGGCAAACAGTAACCAACAACAGTAATAGAGGCTATCATCATCACAGTAATAATAGTAACAACAATAGAAGTAACTTGCCCGTGGTTGCACAGCTAGTAACCATTAGGGTGAAATCTGAACCCACATCTTCCTAAACTGTGATGCTTTTGTTTGTGTAGATGGTCCTGTTACACTCATTGTTCTCTGGGGCCCTGCTGGGTGCCATCATCCAGAGTTGGGGCAGAGACCTCCTCTGAGCTCCTCCCCGCCCGCCATGGGAGCGCGCCCCCTTCCTGCATCGCTGGCGCAGTAGGTGACCCAGGGGAAGGGGCACCCAAATAAATAAAATCTCCCTTCCCTGTAAAATTATTAATTTCTCATGACAGGCCTCTGCTACCATGTGCTGTAATAGACAAAGGAATTTTGGACCCGGATCCTCTGGAGAACAGGAAATAGATGAGACACTTTGATTGAAGAGTAAATGGCCCACTAAAATAGCAGTTAATCCTTTTATTATCTTTCCAGCAGCCGTGTGCACAGTTCTTTCATGAGGTAAGCCTTCCCCGCCCCGTCCAACTGTAACACTCCAGGCCCGGCAGCTGGTTTACATTTAGCCTGCGGAGCCTCCGCTCACGCACCAGGCGGGCCGGGAGGCGCAGCGAGGAGCCGGCCGCCCCCTGCCCAGGTTCTCCGTGCTCAGGGCGGCCTGGGATCGGATCGGGCCTCGGCTCGCGGGGGCCCCCGGGCTAGACCGCGCCGTCCGGCCCCCGCTCTGCCCTCGCCACGGCCCATCCACGCCATCCAGAGGAAGCTCCCTAATCTCTCTGCAATATCCTGTTATGTTTCTTATGTTGTCCGAGTTGTCTTAGCCTTATTAAATGTGGGGTTTCATCTGCATTAGGATAGCGAGGATACGTCCAAGCCAAATACTGCCGCGACGCCTCCAAGACGTTAACTTTGAAAAGATTAATTTCTTGCTTTCTTAGGTTGGGTCTCCCAGACAGTTGGAATTCTGATTGTCTGAGACTGCAGAAATTAGCAGGCTGTGTAGTTTGCTTTTCTGTACATCAAGAAAAAGGCAGGGCGAAAAAGGAAAACCTTTCATAACCTTGGGTTTTAGAAAACAACAGTAATGATAGCAACAATCCCTGTCTTTGTGAAGAGGCTTCCCGGAGCTATGAGTGCAGTGTGGAAGGTGTGTGTAGACAGGTGAAAAGCCCAGGCCTGGAGTTACACCAACCCAGGTCCCCACCTGGGCCTGCCACGTAGCAGCTGTGTGACCTCAGGCAGGGGACCTAGCCTTTCTGAACTGTAGCACACTCGGTTGTAAAATGGGGCTATAATAGTAGTCGCCTTTTAAGGATTGTTGTCATTAGGGTTTGAAGAGATGACTTAGGGTGGTGCATCCCCCATCACGCTCTGTCATATCAACTGGTGCTGAGGTGGGCAGGGCTGTCACCCATGCCGGTGACCTTGTCAGGTGTCTGCCAGCAATGGGGAGTACCTGCTCCGTGCCAGACAGTGTCTGCTTAGGGTGACTGGAGCTAGAAGGGGGAACTGGGGCAGAGGCATAGGGAGGAGGCTCTGGTCCCTGCCCTCACAGGCCTGGGAGCCTCGAGGCTGGTCTTACATCCTGCCTGGGTTCCTCTGGTAGCTGCATTTGCACTGATCACTGATCCCCATCCCTTATGCCCCTCTCCCCTGTTTGCCACTCTGTCACCAGTGCCATTGGACCTGGGACCAGGGAAATACATCCCACCAAAAGCTGAGCATTATTGATTGGCCGTGATCAGCCAAGGAACTCAGAACACCAGCCACCTGGCTGGGCCTTCCCAGCTCCCAGAGGGCCAGCCCGGGCCAAATCTACGCTCATCTCCTCTAATCCTGGGGCTTCTGGCTCTCTTTTTGCTTTACCTCGGTCCCCCAACCCCTGAGAAATAAATAGCACTGGGTGCTGGGAAAGGTGGGGGAGGTAGAAGGAACTGCTCTTTGTTGAGACTCAGGCCTTCTGATACCCTGGCCCAGTGCTAGCCACATCCCAGTCCGTGGTCAAAACTCTGAGGCCCAGAGAGGCTAAATCAGATCCCAAGGTCACGCAGTCTGCCAGGTGGCAGGGTACAGCTCCCCGTCAGATTTGCCCACCTGCTCTGGTAGGCTGTGATTTGGAAGTCATAGAAATGCTTGACTGGGGCAGGGGCGGAGGGTGTCTGAGATCCTATTTTACGGAAAGTCCTCAGGGAGAAGAGAACAAAATATTCTGAGGTATGTGATGTACAACCATGAGTCATCATTCCCATTTTTCAGAAGAGGCTGATGTTCACAGATGAAATGGTTTACTCTGGGTCGCCTGGCTCAGCTGCCTGGACCATTCCACAGGCCACATGGCCTTCCGCCCACCTGCCTTTGCTCAGCCTCTTCCTTAGCAGAGTCGAGTCCTCGGTGCTTCTCAAACCACAGTGGGGCGGGGCAGGGGGCTTCCCTGGGCATCTGCTCCTCCCCAATTCCATGTCCTGAGACTAGCCCTGCAGGTTGGTCATGTTTCTGGGCCAG